ATATATATATATATATATATATATATATATATTGCTTCTTCTCTAATTTGCTTCTAACTTTAATATTATATATTGAAAAATAAGAAAAAAATATTTTTTCAAAAATTCTTCATTTTTTTATAAAAGAAAAGAAAATAATATTATAAAATAAAATATAAAATAATGAAATTGAAGAATTAAATGAATAATAATTGATATTGTTTTCGTATAATAACTTAATAATGTTATTTATAATATATATAATATATAATTAATATATAATTTATAATAAATTTTGATAAATTTGATAAAAATATACATCATATTAAAATATACATTGTATAATCAGGATATATCTATACATAAATAAATAAATCATACGTGTATATACAGAAATAAATTTTTTATTTTGAAGCATCTGGCACAACATTGCTTTACAATGTGTAAAAAAAGATGTTGTGTCAGTATAAAAAAATACAGAAAACGGTAAAATAAATTCCAAAGATATCAACGATTTACTAAAATATTAAACTGAAAAACGCAGTTCGTATTTTCATTTTCCGAATATTCACTGCAGAATACAATGTATATTATATATACATTGTTTTACAATCACTTCGGGAAGATATATAATACGATGCATACATATTTTAATTTACAATACGATTGCATTACATAAGGGAAGTAATATATCAAAAGAAATCTATTATGTATATATAGTATTTAAATGGAGAATACCAAAAAAAAGGCATCGATATAGATAAATGCAATAGTATCGATTTTGGCAGTACAATTTCCAGTATTCCAAATTAATCATCACTTAATCAATTATAATATCTATGTATTCATGAAACATTTAAAAATTTAATGTTATAATTAAACATATAATAAATGTGTACTAATGAAAATAATTATATTTTTTATGTAAACATATCATTTTTTTGTTCCCCTCCTTTTTTCTTTAGAAAAAAGAAAATAATATATATATATATAATTTAATAAGTTCGCAATATCTTAAATATATCTATTTTGTTTATTTATTTTGTGTTAAAAATAAGATCTCTTGTATTAGCTCATCCCATAAGTAATATTGCTTTGAATATATTTTAATTTATATATATTTATATATTATAAAATACAAGAAGCATTTCAATTAATTGATTTCATCAAATATCAAATTGATATTTTAAGAAAAGCAAAAAAATCAGAAAATCAGATATTAACAATCATAAATCATTTTGAATATTGTATAATCTGTACTCAAAAACAGATAACATAATGTACATATAATTAAAAATATATAATTATTAAAAATAAATATAATAAATATTGATATTGATTTCGAAATTTCGATTATAAAATTGACTGACAAAAATTAACATAATGGAAAAATCACAATAATAAATTAATAATAAATATAAATGTTAATATTATACACTAATAATTAAAATAAAAAAACGACATTATTTATAAGATGAGCTGTTAGTGCATATTCTGATTATTATGTCTATAATTATGTCTATGACAATGATAATACAAAAAATAAGAAAATTTATAAAAAACATAAATACAATTTAGAATGTACATAAAATTATCTATGAATAAAATATCAAGAAAACTGCCAGGAACAACAATGCAATCTCAATAATAAACAAAGTAGTTTTAAACTAAATTTCATTCACGCATATATCATAAATATATTTTCAATAAATAAACAATATCATCGTGAATAATTGTTTTCAAACTCAATAATCATTCATGTTAATCATTGTAAAACAAAGAATATTATTAATCAAGTGAAAAAAATTCCTTCTATTTTTAAAAAGGGTAACTTGGACTATGTTAATATAATTTATTGATTTCATTCAATATCAAGAAAATTATGAAATGAAAAGAACATGATAACATTCATTGGATATATAAGATATTAGAAAGAAAATAAAACAATTACAATGTTTCAATTTTTTTCTTCTGTATATAATATTTTTGAAAAAATGAAGTAAGTTGATATTTAAATAAAAAATTATTAAAAATTTAAGCATTTGAAAGTAATATTTGAGCGGCAGAGGGGATATTTAAACGAAAATGAATGTATTTTGTATGTTTTTCGATGCATTTATCGAGGACGAGACAAGGCAGAGGAAATGCAGGATATCGAAGATTTTTATGGTTTATATGCATACTTTTCTAAATAGTATTTCCTTTGTCAAGAAAGGCTAGAAAAGTAAAAGCATAAATCCCCTCTTCTCTGACTGTCTATTTGTTTGTTTCATAGAGAAAAAAATTTGAGGAAAGTCTGCGGAGGAATCGGAACGTGAAGAGACGCTCTATCAACATCTGCCAATTTTTCTTGAAAGGCTGGATCCTGATCAGCGATACAGGGATGCCCGAGTGATCGCCAAAATAAGCAACGGCAATTGCGGCATAATTGAATTATCTCTGCATATTCTTCTCGCAAACCAAATGATCTGTAAAATATTTATATTAATTTATTTTGTCGATAGCAACAGACGACATTATATATAATATAAATATATAGATAAGAAATGAGAAAAATGAATGTCTTATCATTCATAAAAAAATTATATATGATCTATACCTTCGTGCAATAGTAAATATAGTTTTCCAATCTTTTCCCGGATTATGTTGTCTTGTAGAAGCTATTTGCTGGGGCGTGAAATGGTACTGAGCAAGTTCCCGCCAGATTCTTTGTTCTTGCGCAAGAATAGCTAGATGTTCGCAAGCCTCTGAAGATGCTTCAATATCTCGTGGATCACTTAATCGAAGGAGAACTTCTCGACGGCATTCTGCGGGTAAATCTGACCATTGCGGTTGCTGTTTCTCATCCGGCTAAAATCAAAAAAATGAGGACAAAAACCATAAGACAATTCATTTCATTTCATTCTAAATACACATTTTTTTACCTGTGTTATAGTGATGGACGAAGCAATTTGTAATATTCTCTCTAGAGCAGCTTTATGTTTCTCCCATAAGACTACAGAACCCAAAGGTCTGCCACCCCAACAACAACTAGCGCTGAAAGCTCGTACTCTTTCAATCAATCGGCGAAGTTTTCCAGTTTGTTGCTGTGATAATGATACTGTCAAGCATACATTATAAGAACACGTGTCAAAAAATATATTTGTCAAAAGATAATTCGTTTAATATTTAAAATCTCATTACCTTCCAAAGCAACTTCTTCCAGCATATTAAAGAGAACTCGTTGAGCACATCCGCTAAGACCACCCATTCTGTGACTGACCAAAAGATCCAACAGTCGCACGATGTAATTGAATCGCCGGCAATCATGTACCGCGGATAAAAAGTCCAGCCGTTTCAGAGCATCGCTTAAACCGTTGAAACCAGCGATCTACGAATTTAAAGAGATACGCGTCGCGATCGTTTCTCTTTTCTCCATTTCTGAATATGCATGCATCGGATATAGCCCGCGCCCGCGATTCAACCTTAACAATTACATGTATATTTGCAATCGAACAAAAGAAAAAACCAATCAATAATAATATTTTTCTTTCTTCCTCTCTTACTTTCCCTTTTTTTGATTTTGCTTCTTCTTATTCTTTCATTTCAATTTCTATTCCTCTTCGTTCTTTCTCTTTTTTTTCTTGTTCTCTTTCCTTTCCTCTTTTTCCTTTTTCCTGTTCCTTTTAACTTCTTTTTTAACGAACCAATCCCATTTCTTTCCTCTTTCGAGACTAAGGTTAAATATAAGCACGGATGGAACAAGTCACTCACCTCGCGGGTGCATTTCAGCGTGATGCGGCAATGCGGTTGGACGGTGTTTTCTAAAATTATATGAAAACGCTTTAGAAAAAAGTTAGCCTTAAAAAAATCTAAATAATGATTTTTTATTTTCAAAATTTTCAAATCGATATTTTTTAGAAAGTAATTTTTTAGAAACTTCTAATCATAAATGATATACTAAAAGAAAAAGAAATATCGAAAAAATATAAATCGACGATAAATCGTTTCCTTCGCTTTCACAAATATTTTTCACAAGTATTTACCTTTCTTTTTATCCTTCTCTTTTTTGTCAAGTGCATCTTTATCGCCGCTGCAAAAAAAAAGAAAATAATAATATTATTTCTCTATACTTGATATTATAAAATCACTTAAAGATTAGCAAATGAGATTTTTGAAAACCGAATATATTTACTAGTTTGTAATTGTATAAACATATTATCGCACATATTATTATTCATGCATATTATTGCATCAATGAAATATAGAAAAATGAATAAATTTATATGATCCATTCAAGTATATAATACATAGTCAATCTTTTTTACCTTTATGTAATTAATATTTTGCAATACCAATTTTTAATATCGTTTATATTAAAATATCATCATAAATTCTCTTTAGAATCCTAAAATTTAGCACTATTTTTTTTAATTTTCTGAGATACTAAAAAATGATATCAGCGCTCATCAGAGACATAATATTTTCAAAGAATAATTTTATCATAATAATTGTTCTCAAACATTTTTTTTATTTTCAGACTGAAATTCATTTTTTAATAAATTTATTTTTATTAATTTTCATAAAAGTTGAATAATAATTAAACAAATAAAATATGAATTATTTGAATTTTATGTTTTTTTATAACTATTTTTGATTAATTATAATTTATTAATATTTTGATGAAAAAATGACAATGACATAATTTAGAACTTAAAGAAATAAATATCATTTGCCACTTGAATATATTATATTTTTAATAAATTCACAATACCAACCATCAGTCAAAACAAAAATGCGTAAATGAATAATACATACTTACACTTGTTTAATTCTAGAAAAAGAATTTCAATTTTATTCCAGCAATCTTGAGTGAAATCTCAATTTGAAATCTGTTTATCAATTTACTTTTTCAATTTTCTTCAACTCATCTAATTCAGATCGCATTTTTTTTTTTTTTTGGTGCTATGCATTAATTAACCATAATAGTGACATAGCGAAATGAAAATCGCTACAAATATGTTCCGATTTCAATAAAGAAACAGTTTCATCCGGATTGTTACTTGGCAGTGAAAATCATGCTGGAATTCGCAAGAAAAAAAATCGTTTTTCTTTAAATTTGATCAGAGTATTGTCTTTAACCAACTAATACACTATATATATATATATAGAAACAAGTAAATTCGGTGAAATGCTTAAATCGTCAAATTGCGACGACATATAATCGTCAAGAGAGACCTTGTAGTAATATGCTTACACGATACGGGGGGAGAAACCCCGCGCCAATAATCCGTAACATTATATAACTATCGGTAATATTGTATTTGCGTGAAACGAATCGCGTAGTACCTAGACGCGCACACGATCAGTTCTATACTGTTGCTATTATATGAGACATAGTCTGAAGTATCGAATGAATTTGTCCAGAGATACAACGAAGTTAATTAATTATAAATAAAATTAAATATAATTAAATATAATTAATTAAATATATTAATAAAATTAAAATTAATTTGGTAAAAACGAAAAAATATTTTGACCAACGAATACCGACAATAGTAAAAATATCATTAGCATTAACCATACTGTTGATTGATAAAACAATTTACAATCACATCTCTGGATGAATGTTTATGTATACTATTGTGTTTACGTGTATGTGCATATACATATATGCACGCGGTATCTACGCAAGAAGTTATAAATTCTTTTAATAATTATTTTATATTAAGAATCGTTTACACTTCAATAAGATGTTTGTTGCTATTAACAATTGTAATTATACTTGTAATTATATATATTATATGATATGATATTAAAAAATTTAAACTATAGAAAACCGAATGGAACAATTTACATTAAGCTATGCAAATTCTTTTTTCTCTTACCTTTCGACTTACAAATATTTTTTAAGTTGATAATCGACAATACATTCATAAATATAAAAAAAATTCACTAAGGATCAACATATTGTTGCAATATATGATGGTGTGAAAGATTTGCAAAATTAGTTCAGGTCATGTTAGCTAGGTCATGACCTACTTCAACACAAGTATGAACGATAGTTCGGTTGACCTAATATATTCCTTTTATCATTTCGATAATTTCTTTGTCCAAAAATGATATACAACACAAATATGATCAGAGAAGCTAGAAAAGTTTTAATAGAGTAAATTTTTATTGATAATATATTTTATGGTTACTTAATAATATATTTTATGGTGAAAAGTCAAAATCTTATATATTGTCATTAGTCATAAATTGTTTTATGACTAATGCAAACGATATAAGAAGGGGATTGTTCTTTTGCGAAGCGCGCGAAAGCGTGACTATGCACACTATAATTCCTTCTCTTTCCCTTTGTCTCTTTTTACTATACTTCTTCACTCTTTACTATACTTCAGTATTATTTTTCACGGTCTCATAATGTTAGAACTCGTGAACGAATGCGAAAATGCATCCAAACTCATTATATGTATCAAGTCGAAAGAGAAGGCATAAAGAGAATACACGCATGTACATATATTAAATGCGCACGCGACGCATGCACAGTACACATTCGTGTATACTCACATATATATTTTTGCGTACATGGTATAGTGAATAAGCAATGCATATATCTACATATATGTAGTGTATACGCAAGTACATATTCTTAAGTGAAAATTCAATGATTTTTTGCGGTAAAGAATCGAAATAACAAAAAAATAATACTCAAAATTATATATATATATATATATTTAATATTTTTTTTCTTTCTTCTTACAAAAAAAAAATTTGTTTTAAAATAAAATAAGAATACATAAGAGATAATAGAAAAGGATATTTTTGACATTATATTTTATATTAAATAAACAAAATAAATTATAAAATAAAAAAAACAATTTAAAGATTTTTCTAATGAGTTAAAAAATTTATTTTTATATTTTCTATATTCATTCAATATTAAGTTATATATCAACTAATTAATCATGATGTATATAGAAGAACATTTAAAAATCTATTGAATTTTAATAATTATAAAGTATATACAATAATTATTCGATGCAATTTAGAAATTTCTTAAAAATGTTATTTCTTAAAAATTGTTATTCTTTATTTTGTTTGTATTAACCTAATATTTAAGATTTAATTTTAATTTAATAATATATGATATGTACAATAATAAAATTTGCAATAGTAAACAAATCAGTAACTGTCATTCGATCAATGTAACAGCTGTGAGACAGATGGAATATGCGAAAATGATTAGTTATTTGTGTATACTGTCATTTAAAAACAAAGAATACCACTGGGAATGTAAAAAGAGAGAAAAGAACAAGTCAGTAATGGCACTGCTTACCGAAGCAAGAGAGAAAGTGTTTTATTGTTGGCGCACTCGAGGATTTTTTTCTTTTCCCAACCTTCGACGGTTTTCACCCATTCTTCACCAGGACTGCGCCAATCCTTTGATATGAACGGCATCGTCCGTAAGATAATCACACCAAAACCGTTGTTCTACTTGTGTATGCAAACTGCGAACGATTCTTCGACTAATGCTAAAAAATATTACGGAACACACTTCACTGTATCACGGACGCTCAATGTTTGCTCGTAATACACCTCGGTCTGTTCGGTTTACTTCGCGGCTGCGATCGACCGCGCATGGCTTTGTTTTACTGACGTCACTCTGATATCAGCTGTGCAACTGACGAACTTGTGGACTCTCAATACTTTCCATATACATTCCGCCATTTTAATATTTATATCTCACGCATGCGCGATTAAATTTGATTCAAAAAATACGATATTCGGATGTTCAATTCAAAAGATATTACATATTTATGCGTTTCAATCATGTTTGAAATATGATTTTTTTTATTTAAATTATGTTTTGTAAATTAAAAATCAATTTCATTTTTTAATTATTAATAAAATTGAAATTATACAAAATACGTGTATATTAATGAATATGTTTTGATTATAAAGAAAATATATACAAATACATTCGAACCATTTTTATGTTATATTTATATTTTTTATTTGTTCATCTATTTCAGAAATAATATTTATGGATACTGATTCTTCTTTTTCTTCTTCTGTTTCTGAATCTGAAATAGCTGGTGGAAAATCTGAAATAGCTATTGAATAAATATAAATTTTAAACATTGGCAATAATTTATTGATAATAATAATAATATTCATGATTTATCACATTATATTAATTAATGTAAAGAAATATTTATTAATTAATAATTAAAAAATATTAATTAATAATTAAAAAAATATTATAATAATTACCATGTCTATTTAACTTTTCTTCTCTTGCATCAACGAGAAATTTTTCTTGCGCAGATATAATTTCTTCTGCATTTGTACAAAGTGAATATGTTTTTAACAATTCGTCATTCAATTCTAAAAATGAGTGACCCCAAGAGAATTTTCCGAGATAAAATTTTGCTTCTTCAGGAAAACCTGTTATAATTAAAGTAGCAGCTATAGCTTCTACACAACTTAATTGACAAGGTTTTCCATAATTTATTGGATTTGCAGCAACTAGAAACGGTAAAAGACGCGGATTGGAAGTTCTCATTCTACTAAATGGAGTATCATCTAAACGTGCCCAACTACAATCGACGACTGCGCAACCATAATCTTTTATAATATCACGATCTGTTGGACTCACACACTACAATATGAAATTTCAATTTGCTATATTGAAAATTAATTTATTTCGTTTATTGTATCAAAATATACCATACCTTTTGACCAATAGGTGTAAGAACTAATCCTGAAAATCGAACTCCTAACCTTAATATTTTTACTAAGCCATGTCTAACTAATTTTCTACCAGAACATTTTTTAGGATCACAATGTTCGAGATCCCACATAGCAACGGGAAAAGAGGGGGACCAAACATTTTCTTCTTGTTCTAAAAATTAAAATAATCGAATTTGTTTCAGACTTTTTTCTAAATATTCCATTCTAACCTGATATTTCATCTTCCTTATCGGATTTATCTCTTTCTTGACGATATTTTTCTTCTTTTCCAACAACATGTCGTGGTCGTCTTGTTAGTATTCGTTTTCTGTTTTTCTTTCCGTGAGATGACATTTATGAGATAACATAAACTTTAAATTGTTTCGTAAAAATATATGTGAGCATGAACTATTCTTTTCAATTTGAAGGTTACTTAACTTGATATGTATAAACGTAATAACTATAAGTTGTAAACCCACGTGTATTCGTGCGTACAAATGAATTTATATTCAAATAATATATGTATTACAATGCATATATAGTATCTATTATAATATAGTAATGTTATATTGTATAAATTTTTCCAATTATGGGCATTATGGGCATTAATTATTTCTCAAAACATATATAATATACATAATTTTTTATAAGATGCTTTATCTTATTATCAATATGTTTATGTGAAATTGCAATCAAATATTACAATATTATTTATATGAATTAAATTTATATATAATTATTATTTAATAAAAGCATAAAAATTAAAATATAATAATTCATATATATTAAGATTTGTAAAAGTACCACTGCATTAGACGGCACTGATATACTGTTAGAGTGGGTAACAAGTGGCTGTTCTGTTCTCAATCGCTCCGCGGAACACAAATTGTTCAGTGAATAGGGATTCTTTAAACATGTGTTTAAAGACAATTTAATCAGAAGAGAAATGTTTTGTTCATACTTATATTGTTCTTAAATTAAAGGTAGGTGTTAATTTATACTATTTTATATATTATTATTATTAGTTTTTATATTTTATCAATTCACATTATTAAAATTATTATTTCGCAATGATATATAAAAACATTGACTGGTTAATGCGTATTTGTGTAATTGAATATTTTTAGCTTTACTGATATTAATAATGTTTATATCGTTCATGCCGCTTAAAAGACATGGATTCAGGTACATTTTATTGAGATAAATATATTGTTTCTTATTTTATAACGTTTTTTGTGTATATATATCGTATCTAAATGTTTAAATTATTATTAATTCTTGTTTAAAAATTTTTAATATATTCTTTTTAAATATTTATTACGTAACATATGGATATTATGAATTTTTTTAGAAATATATAACAAATTTATATACGATATATATTTTACGATAATATATTAATTTATAAATTATAGCGAATCAATTTATTTTAAATAATATTGTGATTTATAAATTTTTTAATAACTAATATCATAACTTATATTTTCTCTCTTTACAAGAAAAAACAAGGAAAGAAACAATTATAAAAGTAACAGATTGGTTACGTGGAATTTGGGAAATGAGACGTCAAACTGGTCCTGTCCAACAATGGTTAGATTCAATACCATCACCTATAAAATCTAATTTTTCAATAAAAAATGAAAACCAACGAGAATCAAATAAAAAATCTAATGTTTCATTGATACCAAGTGAACCTAAGGATATTCCATATCCTATAGGAACAAAACAATTAACCATGACTAAATCTGCACCTATCAATGTTCCTAATACAACAATTAATACAACAGGATTACCTAGGTATTAAAACACAAATAAAGAAATACATAATAATCACTAGTTTCATTATTATTTATGTTTTTATGTTTTATATAGTTCATTGCCTCATAAATTAGTTCGAGATCCAAGTCTACAATCTGATAGTAGTCATTGTAGTAGTGTTGAAAGCTTATTAGAATTAAGAAAAGCAGATCCAGAAGCAATTTTACTTGGTCTTGGATTTGGTGGTTGTTCAAATAGTCCGCAAGAAAATGGCTCTTTTTCTCGCATACCAAAAAGATTTTTACAGCCATCAAAGTTAAAAGGCATAGCTATTAATGATTTTATGAAGCAACAACAAGAAACTAGTGAATCTTTTGATTCAGTATCTTTAGGATATAGAGGTTTGACAGGTAAGATACATGCAAAAAATTGATATATATAGGCAAAAATATGATAGAATAATAAAATAGAAATATATATAAATTACAATTTAAAAATTATTACACTTAATGTGGAACAACTAAAATATATACATCAAATAAATTTTATAGATAAATTATTATAAGTTAAAAAAATAAATTTATGTTACACAAATAGTAATGTTATAGGAAGCGATGACACATTATCTGTGTCTAGACTTTGTCCACATCGCAGACATTCTGGACCAATTAATTTTGTAAGTCTTGTGACAATTAGGTTTTTTTTGAATTTTTCATGATTCCAAAGTAATTTTTATTTGAAAGGTTTATATTTCAATTTTGTTTTAATTGTTTTTTTGATGTGCTTAAGTATCTATGCTTATAGATTTTTAAATGTTTATTTTATATTGATAAATAACAAATAAATAGAAAATGCATGAAATAGTTATTGCCCGTGTGAAAGTATTTAATGCCTGAAATAAATTATTTGTTTTGTATCATAGATAATTATAATTATTTATTTAGATTACAAGACATTAAAATTAAATAAAATAAATTAATCATTAATTGTTTTTAAATTTGTAGTATCTTTAGCCATAAAAATAAAATTGCATAGTTTTTCTAAGTTGCATATTATATATATTTTTATAAATTGTTATCGCTTCTTGTTTACAGACAATTTTAATGTTATATTATATTTATTCATTGTTAGTATATAATAATGATATTTAATTGCTAAGGAATGTGAAATTATTTTTTTTTTATCTAAAAGGTTCACCGTACGTAGCACCATCGGAAATCGTACAGAAAATTATGCAACGTTTACGAGAACACGAAAGTCACGAACATGATCCATATGCAATGTACAATTCGTACGAACAATACAGCCCATTGCATTGTGGTGGTACACTTTCTGTACTGTCCCCTGACAGTAGACAATTTTTGGAACAACCACGTTCTAAAAGTCCAGACATGCGTAACAAACGTATGATCATAGGTAAAATTGATTTCATTTATTTCTTTTATTAGTTGTTTTTTAATTACATATATATATTATGTTATATTATTGAAAAATATACTAATGAATATTGAACATATATTTATAGGACAAAAATCATTTGCATTTGGACATGATGGTGATTTAATTGAAATTGATTCTTCTAATCCAAAAAGATCATTTGAAGATACTTTAGACAATGAAACTAATGTTATGGAGAGTTTAGAAGCGAAATCTAATGATTTAACTAATGATATTAAAGTATTTAAACAAACGACTATTCAGAAAATAGAAAAAATATTACCAAAAAACTTATATTTTAATGATGATAAAGAATTTAACACTGATTTTAATTTATTGACAAAAGCGTTCAAAGAAAATTTAAATGAGCAAAATTTAGATAAAAATATTGATTGTAAAGACAATATTTCTTTAAACACAATTTCACATAATCTATTTGATATTCGAAGAGCTAGTGATGGATTTTGTAATATGAAAGATGGAAAGATTTTATCTGAGATAAATAAACGAAGACACAGCGACGGTTTTATGCAAACTTCTAAGCATAATGATGACAGTATATTAGCTCGAAGAAGAAAAACTTTGAAGCGACAGATTAGAATAAATGATACAGATGACATAAACTATTATAATTTAAATATCTGCGAATCTGATACAGCACAATGCAAAGAATTTGAATGTAACTTGAATAACGATGACAAGCAAGAAAGCATTTCTACGAAATTAGTTCAAAATGATGATAAAAAAATAGAATTAAAAAGTGGAACCAGAAATTACGACATAATTAAATGTTCACAAACATTTCTCGAAGAAACATATAATTGTATAGAATCAACTAATTCAAGTAAAGAAAAACAAGGAAATAATAATGAATGTTGTATTAAGGAATCTCAGTCTATAGAACAAATAAATAAAGATGAAAGTACAACTTGTTGTTGTCATTCTGGTACTAAAAAGTATTGGAAGAAAATGGAAAAAATTATACAAGAAAATAAAAACTTAGAAAATATGGTAACAAAAAGTAGAAGAGAAATGGCAGAAATTCGAGAAATGCTAAGTAGCGTGTTATCTGTACGATTAGAACCTGGTTTTTAATTACAGTTGAACACAATAAATAAAAACATAATGCTCCATATGATAGAATATTCGAAATAAATTTCGACAATGTATTTTCAAAATTATTTTGCATATACTATTTTTGAATGTATCTTTAAAATATTTTACACTTAAGAAGAGTGTAATTCCGTAAAATTATCACAAAAGCTCATAATAAGCTCATAAAAATTGCAATGCAGTAAGAATGCATTTTTACTTATAACAATTATATCTCTGTTTTTAATTTTAAATAAAGATGTAAATATTTTGTTATAATTAAAAATTTTTATTTTTTAATGGATGATATGGATGAAATAGCATTATCTCATATATTTACAAATAACGTATATTGTTGATTCATTATTATGAAATATTTTAGTATATTTGAAAAATTATTGCTATTATTTTATTATTTTTGTTGCTATATATAAAACATGTTAATGTTAAAATTTTCATTTAAATTTCATTGTTGATAATATATAAATTATTTTACCATTGTTCAATCGTACTCAATGTACGCGTATACATTAAATTGTAAATATGTATGAAGTAACTTTAGAAACTGCATTTCATATTCGATGATTTGAAGATATACACATGTAAGCATATACTTCAAACTAACAAAAAATTTTTTTTGAAATTCTAGTCCCATTAATTTTCGCATCAATAACATAATTTCGTTATATTGCTATAAAAAAAGAAAAAAGGCAATAATAATTATAGAAGTAGCAGCAGCACTAATAGTAATTATAATAACAATAAAGATAAAAATAAGATTCAACTATTTTTTTCTGATAAATGTTAATATTTTTTTTATGTAATATAAATTAATTTATAAGTAATTTATAAGTCTTATTATAAGAATTAAATAATATATTTGTAAAGAAAAGAAAGTAAGAACTATTCTGCAATATTTAACTTTATCTTGCATAAACAATTTTATGCCTTCATATAAATATTCGAATTTTTATCAATTTAAAAATATACATTTTAAAGTGACAAAACTATTTTTGATTGAAACTTTTTGTATAATGAAAAAATTATTATGAATGATTATTAATTATTATTAATAGAGTCATAATTTTATAAGTTCATCAATTATCTTTAATGCTCAAATATTATATATATTTCTATTATTGTATTAGCTCTTATTACGAATTAAACATAGTTTTGTTGGGGCTCTATGCTAACATTAACTACATTTCAGCACAAAACTTTTATAATTAAGTTAGACATAATTATAAAAAATTATATTTACGTATTATTAATCAAAACATTTAAAGTACAAATTAAAATGGAAGTTACAACAGGATTTATGTATATACGTGTGTACATATAAATATTATATATATATATATATATATACACACACACATTATTTTTTTAATCTAACGTATCATTTAATGTTTTTAATTGTTAAATTTATAACAAAGGTTCTATTCCATATTATGTGCCTACATTCCAATAAATTTGATGTATACAAATTATACAAACAGGATAGGAGCTTTGTAGAAAATATGAAATGTACAAATAATATAGGAATATTGAATAAATATTTGACAGGATTAATTTTTACTCTCTCTCTCGCTCTCTCTCTTTTTTTTATGTACGTGAAACATAATTTTTATCTATAAAGCTAAATTGAACATGACATATCATTGAACATGATTGATGACAGTATAATTAATTTCTTATTCACACTGTTGCTACTAACATAAGTCCATTATACATAATATTTATAGCTATGAAAACTTCGAGATTTAAATAGAAAATTAAGAATATTATGATTTCCAGTGAATTTACACGACGATAGGAACACAAGACCACAACGGTAACTGACACTGTGATTTATTTTCTATATCTAATATTTTGTATTTTAATGACTAAACATAACACGGAATCTAGTTACTGAAGATGTTCTTATAATTGGACATTGAACTGTTTAAAGTGCAACAGAGGATTGAGTGAATTTTACAATTAAAACTACGCGAAAATTTATATATCAAATTATCACTAGATAAAAAAAAGTAATACAATAGTATTTTGAAAGTAACATGCAGTCAAAACAAAGCTTAGACTTTTGTTGAATTTATGAAACATAGAATATGAGTGGATGTCGTACCTTTTAAGGAAAGAAATAATGTTGCAAATATTTGGATAGCTTGATTGTTAATTCAAATACACATAAGTATCTTGTAGAATTATTAATTATACATAAAGCTACCCTTAGTAAAGAACTGAGATCCATGGTCCACTCAATCTTATTTTTAAACACGAATCTGCTAGAATATCATTTTGTAAACTGCATCCATGTATTTATGTAATATGTCTGTGTAATGTTGAGATGTACCTGTGAATGTAGATGTATTCTTCCTTAGCATATCTTAAAATGTATATAAACAAATATGATCAAACATGATCTATATTTAGTCTTCTTTTTCTTCTCTGAAAAATAGGAAAAAATAGATTTATCTTTTTTATTTTACTCTAGGGTAATAATAATGAAATCATATAAAAAATAAGGAGAGAAAAAAAAAAAAAGAAAAAACAATACTTTACAACTTCCTGTTGATGTTGATCAAGGTGAAGTTCAACAATGGTTTCTGTTCTACTTTGCACTTTGAAAGTAACTTGTGCAGCCAAGTATTTATCTTTGTTATTTACCGACCATCCCGAATACTATAAAATATAATATTCATTAGGAACATAATATTCATTAATATTCAGATTTTATAATAAAATTAATAAATATGTTAAAAGTCTACCGTCGATGTGCTTTTATATAACGTTTTTCCATCTTCTTTAAAAGGTAAAAATTTTTGTAGTAATGCTTTTCCATCTATCCTCCATAATGTTGGATCCGTATTTCCACCATCTGTATTTCCAATATCAGCTTTTGCAACAACGAATGCACCAGACTAGAATAATAAATACACGTAATTTTATAATATAAATTACACATTGTATTCTTGTAATATAAATAAACAAATTTAGAAATTTAGAATGTTATAAATTATATAACTCACAGTAAAATCTTTTGGCGTCTCTCCTGATGATTCGTTATAACTGTTATCATCAGAATCTTCTTCGTCTTCATCTTCTTTTTCATCTTCTTCTTTTTTAGACCGTCTTTTTCTTTTAGGTTTTTTTCCTGTGTCTGAATCAGATTCTTCATCTTCTTCATCATCTTCTTCTTCATCCTCTTCTTCTTCTTCATCTTCTTCTTCTTCTGAATGTTGTCGTTTTTTAGCAACTTCTCTTTGTGGCCTTTTTTTAGCACCACTCTAAATATTAAAATTATATAAAATATTGTATTATTGAGATAATCTATGATTTTATTATAAAATTATTAATATTATATAGATACATAATTATATATATTTATATTATATTAATTTTTTGAAATAAAAATATAAACAATAATATTTTTATTTTGACTAATATACTTTTGACAATACAAAACATAGATAAAAAGATTATCACAGAATTGCAATGTTTTGAAAAATACATAGTTCAACTAGCATTAATAACTTAGTAATAATAATTTGTCGACTATAATATTTCAAAAATTACTGATTTTCTACATATAATAAAAAATTAGATTTTTTACAATAAAAATTAATTTTATTTATATTAAGATTTAAGAAATATTGAAAATATATTTTGATGATGATATACATTCAATAAAATACATCGGTTGCGTATTTGACACGGCTACGATACATCACTGCTACATAACTGAATCGACTTGTGTTTTCTCATTATCTACTAAGTGGGACTGATTGATTAGAAATGATATTTATTTCTGACAATAACGAAAAATATGAAATTAAGAGAAAAACGTAAGTATCAGAAATAATAACTTGAATCTCTTATCTACAAACATTTATGTTTGTTTTCTTACTTAATGAAAAATATGAAGAATCGAAGTGCCGCCGATTGACAGAGCTTTATTTGTGACTAACGACGTATATATAGATGTTTTCACATATAAGAAAATTCATAAAAAATGTGACAAAAAAACAAGAAGTCATGATAAATTATAAAATAGGAAAAATATATTCAAAAAATAGTAAAAAAGAGGAAAGTATTAGTAGCGTGGGCTTACTTCAGCTCCGGCCTCAGGAGTCCACTCTTCTTCAGAGGCTCCTTCAACTTCTTCCGGATCATCCGCGGAATATTCATCCTCGTCTGAGACGTCCTTAGTTTTCTTCATGTTGCTTTTTCGCGAAATGTTTGCAAACTTTCCCAATGGGGCTCACTGGACGAGAGAAAAACTTGACGAGATTATGTACGAGACAAACCAATTACGTACGCGACTGCCGCAAACAATATGGCGGTATATAGCGATGGGAATTGACTTTTACGCACAACCTCCTGCGCAGCCGGAAGCGACGCGTGCTTTGTAACTTCCTGCGCGTTCATAAACCCGCGAAAAATGGAATTTTTAGATAACTATATAAATTGTTTATGAAATTTTTATAATCTATTTGTAAATTGCAATAATATAACATATAAATTACTATTTAAAATAAATAAATAAATAAAAGAGATATAAAAATAATAAATAAAATGATTAAACTTAAAGTTAATGATATACATTGTATAATAATTTAAAGCAGTTTGAAAGTGTATTTATTGAATAAATTTAATTATATAATTAACTAGTTAGTTATTTGTGATTTATCGATATTTTTTAATATTTTGAATTATAAAAATTTGTCCGAATTCAAAATGTTTTTCGAGCTGGATCGATATGAGAGTTGGCGCATGCGTTAATATTTTAGAGAATAAGTCTCTGCCTTTGCTATTAACAGTGTTAAGAATTTAACGTGCAGAGAGAACAAACAATTACGGAAAGAAGATAAAGATGTTCGAATTATACGGTATGAACAAAGATGGTATGGTTTATCGTTCTCCACCGCCAAGAAGAAAAGAAGTCGACATATTAGAGGTAATTCGAAAAAATTGGTCGATCTAATTATTTAATTATTCGGTAAGCATTGTTGTATTTATCAGTGTTCATTTTTCTATTTAAAGGTATTTTTGCATACAAGACTTTACAATATATATAATAAATGATGATAATATATTGAATTTTATTGGAAGACTTCATTCCTAATACTACATCATACATAATAAAATATTTAAAAAAAATCAACAAATATTTTGATTTGATTGAAACTATTATATTTGCAGACTTGTTTGCAATTACCATCTCCTGAACTAATGAGAAAATTACCAAACGGTGATGCAATACATCATGCAAAGGATTCAGGTGTTTCAACTTCTTTTGATAAAAATAAGATCCATCAAGAGAAAGCGGTAAGTTTTTATACGTGAAAAATATAATTTTTAATTATATTTTTATGCATATGATTACTTATCGTTAGAACAGAAATGTGATTTTACGGATGAAATGAATTAGGTTAGAAAAATTGAAACAGATTATATTCTTTATATATAATATTGTATATTATCAGTTTATCACTTTTTTTCTTATTCTTTTTCTCATTCTTTTCTCATTTTATATCAATGAGTTTGTTCATTGCTGTGGAACTGCGTAACCACATAATTTTTCTAACGATGAAAGATAGATATAAGAAAATTGTTATAATGATCAACTTGTTCGGTTGAAGATTTCACTTTGGAATTCGATATAAGGTTTATTTTTTTCACATATGAATTAATTTTCGATTCCCAATAATCGATATTGAAATGTATTAAGAAGTTTACCAACTTCTAATTGAAATCGATGAAAAAGAAGAAAAATTCTCGCGGAATAAAAAGAATTTATAATCGTTTTATTGTTATTTCTACGTCTGCATTCGTCGATGACTAAATAACGACGTAAAAGGAAGGTGTGTGGATGCTATGATACGCAGGACGGAGCGTGTTGAGGAAATGGATAGTGATGATTGGTTTCTTTTTCCTTGGATGTGCTCTGGTCGCCGGTGTTGGATTACCTTTAGCTTTGGAACTACGTAGCTCGCACTTGTTGGAAGCTAGACTTCAAGTTGTCCGACGAATGCTCTCTGAAATACCTTTGATCGATGGGTACGAAATTATATAAAAAAAAAAAACATTGATCCAAATTCTATAATTCGTGAATGAATGTTTCAGGCACAATGATTTTGCGTGGAATCTACGAAAACATCGAGGAAGTACAAAATTGAAAGATTTTCCTTTCGACGAGAATTTATCGCGAAACGTAAGTTGGGGATCTCAATGGCAGACTGATCTGGTACGGTTACGACAAGGTATTGTAGGTGGGCAATTCTGGTCCGTATACGTACCGTGCGAAGCACAATTTCTCGATGCAGTGCAACTTACTCTGGAACAGATAGACGTGATACGTAGGCTCACTTCGAGATATTCGAAGAAAATAAGGATGGTAACGAGTAGTAAGGAGCTCGAGAAAGCACACAAGGATGGCGTGATCGGGAGTTTAGTAGGAATTGAAGGAGGCCACAGCATTGGCACGTCCATGGCTGTGTTAAGAAGTTTTCATCGGTTAGGAGCACGATACATGACCTTGACACATAAATGTAATACTCCATGGTAAGATTATGTAGGAATATACAAGAGCAAAGAAATATGAAAAATACATAGATGAACATACACACATACGTAAGTAAATATACAAATATAATAGTGACGAACCAATCGTTGCTATCATCCATAGGGCGGATTCTTGTTCGGTGGAAGATCCGAATTCGGACGCGCGATTGGATTTTCACAGCGACGGATTGTCGATATTTGGTAAAGCAGTGGTAAAAGAATTGAATCGATTAGGAATGCTCGTGGATTTGTCTCATGTTTCGATAAGGACCATGAGGGATGCGTTGACGATGAGTAAGGCACCTGTGATATTTTCTCATAGCGCTGCCAGAGCTCTCTGTAATTCGTCCAGCAATGTTCCAGATGATATACTTCGTAATTTGGTAAGAAAAGAAAGTTGAATAAGATGATTTTTTTTTCTCAACTTCTTTATTCTTCATCTTTGTCCTATTTTACGTATAATCTGATTGTTATAACGAAGTCATAAAATTAATTTGATAAAAAATTTTTTGACTGCTAGAATATCAATTTAAGATATTTAGAAGACATAAAGAATTCGATCATCTTTCGGTATCGGTATGTAAATTTTATATGAATTTATAATAATTTACGAAAAATTAAAATTCTTTTAAATATTGAATAAAATTTATAATATTATTTAAGATTCATTCACATTGCTCGTGTAATCATCAGATATGAAAGGTATAGATTGTATGAAAGACAAGGAACATGCGAAGCGATATTTCTTTTGTTCATATTCTCTTTGTTTTTTATGCAATAAGTTTTAGAAACTTCAAGTCATACCATTTTTTGATTTTTCAATATAAATAGTTTAATACTTTCTCATAAGAATTGTATCGATTGCATTAAAAATTGTATAATTCCATTTATAAAAATGAAGTAATACATACCTTTATATTAAGTAAATTTTATAATAATATTTTTTTCACTCGTCTTAAAAGATGTTTTATATAGATAAAATAGATACTCTGTAAAATATCGTGTTTTATCGTAAATATCATTGAAATGACGTTTAAGCTAGATTAAATTTAAATTGTAATTAAAAGTTAAATTAATTACTTTTTTTGTTTCGTTGGTTGGAATTTTATTCTGGATAAAACAGGATAAAATATATAAAGCTGAGAGCCAACAACATGAATAATGTCATATGGCATTAATCAATGCCGTTGTTGAATACAATAATTTATGACCTCGTTATTTCAACTAAATCTTCTTCTATCCATATTTTATATATATCTTTTTGCAACAACAATATTATTTATTACTTAAAATCAATATAAATAATTTGTATACCAGAATAAATTATTTATATAATATTATAATATATTTATATAATATATTTATATAATAATATTAAAATTATATATAATATTAAAATTATATTAAAATTATATTATATTTTTCATTATAAATACTAAATATAGGAAAATATCTCGATTAATTTAATTTTTTATTTGGTAAAATTGTTACTACTTGGCCCACATGGCTAAAGTACATTGATTAGTATGTCAAACAATACCTCGTAGATAGGCGAGAAAAGTATGCAAAACCGAGAATGCTGGTGTCACCGTGTCTTATCTTTTGTTTCAGTCGGTGAATGGTGGTCTGGTTATGGTAAGCTTTGACAGTGCACATTTAAACTGTGGAGATAAAGCTTCTATGTATGATGTAATAGGTATGTGTGTATTAAAATATCGTTAAAAAACAAAATTTCATTTTATAAAAATATAAAAAAAGAAGAAAAAAATATATTATTGTTTTTATAGCTCATATCAATCATATAAGGCGAATAGCTGGTGTTAATCATGTAGGTCTTGGAGCTGGTTATGATGGAATATCAAGGTAAACATGAATGGATAATAATCTATTTCCTTAAACTTTTTTAAGATACGAAATTCTTTTATAATAACCAATAACCTGCAATTCTCCCATTCTTTTTTATTAAAACATAAGAATGTTTTTAATAAGTAAAAAAAAATGTTTTTCTTCTTTATATTACGATCCCTTGTGAATTACATCTATTTTTGAGTAAAAATAAAATGAATGCGGCATGTTTTCAGTCCGCCAGTTGAACTTCCAGACGTTTCTGGTTATCCTTTACTACTGGCCGAACTGACGAGAGATCGAAGATGGTCGGCTTTGGACATTAAGAAGTTGGTAGGTGGAAATTTATTGAGAGTATTGAAAGAAGTGGAAAATCACGCTGTATCCATGTCGCATCAATCTCCAGCAGAGGAATTGATTCCTCAGGAGTTGATAGAAGATACCGCCTATTGCAGATATCATGACGCTTAAAAACAGTTCGATATCAATATTTCGATAATGGATAATTTTCGAAATGTCGAATCATCTATTTCTTATTGTTTCCTCTCTTTGTACCTGAATTACTCTGTTTTACATTTTCTAATAAAGTAGTCACGGATCATCCGAATCACTGTTTTTTCTATCTTTTACATTTTAATAATTCGCATATAACCTCTTATAAACGCTTCATGTTCACCATCCACATGTAATGTAATACCTTTATCGAGACGAATGTATTTAATTTCACATCCTTTGCGCCACGGTTAACGAGTCACCTAACTGTGCTGCGAAAAATAAAAAATATAATTAACTGTAATCCTTTCGTTCGTAATCAAATCGTTTATGCACGATAAAATGAACGTCGAATTAATGTTCGTGTAAATATATATATATATATATTTAAATACATATCTTTATCTATACATATCTTTATCTATTACATAATTATATATTTATGTATTCTTATTAATATGAATGAAGTGTATTCATATTATAATATAATAAAATATAATAAATATTATATATTTATATTCATATACAAGATATCATAAAAATATGGGAATATTACTTAACTAAAGATTCCTGAAATATTCCTTTTGATTTGCAAAAACTTTTATTATCGTTTTGTTAATAAATTATTAATAAAAAAGTATTGCCCAATCACAGAGAACGTAAACTAATCAAGTTAAGATAGGTTATAGTAGCGTTGAGTATTTGCCGCCGTCCGAATACAAACAAATAACACATGAAAAAAATATGATTTTTTTGATAAAAAAATATTTATTATATTTAACAAATTTTCTTCGATATATATAATTTAGATTTAATCATTTTTGGTCGGCGATCCATCGCGATTTGACGAGTCTAGAATATTTTTTGTTATTAATAACTTGTTATTAATAAAAACGTAAAACTAAAGTTTTTGCAGAAGAAAATTACATTAAGAATTTAATCGATATTCTAATATCTTTGAAACACTCTATATATTTTTCATGCGTATAGTATCGATTCATTTGATGTAGAATGATAGTTACGTTACGTAATTATAAAGTTACACGTAATAACGATAAGCACAATATTTTGTTAATTTTTTTTATATTCAAAAAACTTATTTAATAATTAAATAGGAAAGAATTATTATGAAAAGAATGTACAGAAAAAAGAAAGAAATCGAAAGATATATAATAATACCAAATAATAACATGCAACTAGCAGAGAAATTAATACGTGATGAAGTTATCTAAAAGGATAAGATAAATCACGATTAGATTTTTAGAAGCAGAGAAATGCTATGGAAATCAAGACAAAGAAAAGAAAGTAATGCTAGAAAAAGAAATAGCGTGATATAGAAAAAAAATTTTCAAAATTTTCATTGTTTCGTACAATTATCGATTACAAACTATCGATTATCGATTAATGATTACCAACTATCAAATAATGGTTACTCATTATCGATTAATAAGTCAGTTCCCTTGATTAAAATACGTATCTAAACTCGAGAATATAGTAACACTTACAAATATGTTATTTATGTTATTATTAATTACACAATGCAGAAATGCAAGTGTTCACGAGAAATCATAGCACAATCAAAAATCTAAAATGTGGAAATATTAATTGAAGGACAATCTTTAATTATTCAAACATATAGTTAAATGTTTGTGTTTTCCCAAATCACTGTCACGCGATCTATTCGATAATCGATTAATTATAAGTGTAACGCCTCAGTCGATCGAGATGCAAGCAGTACAAGAGGGCAGTGCGACACGCAGATGATCGAAGAAAGCCCGCGTTGAAATGATCGGGAATTGATCACTGTTTCATCCAAAGCAAAATCAGAGAGAATCCGTTCCTGGATGATGGTTTCGTGGCGCGGAAGTGGTAGGGGATTCGAAGATTATACTCGTTGGTTTGTAAGTCGAAAGAACAGTTTGGTTTACGATCGCTTTCGAGTTATATTATTTTTCTCCGAGTTTCAAAATGTTTGAATATTAAAAACTAAATAGAAGTCGCAATCATATATATTGAATCGAAAATCGAAGCGAAAAGAAAAAAGAAGGAAAAAACGAGTGCGGTATTAGCGATCATACGATCTAATCATTGTGACGAGTTGATTTGATCATAAAAAAAGCTATTTCATTTCGCGAACATTATTAAATTTTTCTTGTTTATACATTTCTGATTATTTTTACAATTCACGTTTTCTCTTTCAATCTTGATTTTGCACGATTAATTATAAATTAATGAAAATATATGAGAAAAGACATATAAAAATAATTATTGATACGAAACAATATTAATGTTTTTCTGAATCTAACTTTTTGAGAATACGAAAACACAGGTGAGTGTAATGAATTGATTATTTGATGATAAAAACATCGTATATTTTGATATTGTTATTTAATCATTTAATTAATTCAATCAACTAAGATAATTTTTTTTTAAAAAATGATCATATCGATACGATACGAATGAAAGGAAGTAACTATTGGCAATGAACTCGGAACTTTAGAACGTGAGCACGTGTTTCTTTGTAAACATCTACTCGGCCATTTCCCTTTCCTTTTTGCTTTACGTTCGATGAACCGTAATCCTTCCGAAAGAGAGGGTCCTAAATAAAAATAGCTATGGTTAATTTCGAATCAAAGAGATATACTTGTCATGTTGTGAAACGTTCGCAAATTTTTCTATGTTTATCTTCTTCTATTTTCTTCTTTCTTCAACTTCTTGACATAACCACAATGTTACCAAATGTCAAAAGATTTAAATTTGAAACTAACATTTTTATTAAATTTTACTAATTAAATTAAAAAATATATTAAGAATGCTTTTAGGAAAATAGTATACATAGAATATTATAACTTTTATAATATTATAAAAGTACCAATCATATAATTTCAACTGTTATAATCGTTTGTAGAAATATATGTATATATTTTTATGTATAATATACTATCTATCTATGTAAGATGACTTTGATTGTTTTTTGTTTCAGACGAAATTAATCGACTAAAAAAGACAAAGGGAATGAAAAATGAGATATAAGGTGAGATAACAACCTTGGCGAATTTCAAATATTTTTTTCATTCGAATTTACATGTATATTTATGTGTACTTGCATATATTCGCATATACGCATGCATAATACATAACACATAATACACAACACATCAAATAATCTGACTTGTGATTATAATATTGTTTTGTTTTTTTAAAAAGAGACAATAGCTGTTGTTCCTACTTTTTATTCTTTCTTTTTTCTCTTGTTTGATCGTTCATTGTTATACGTATACATAAAATATACAAGACAAAAGCTGCAGCATCGCAACACCTTGAGTAAATCGCATCACCGTCATGTGTTCTATGCATATGTTTACAATTAATAATGATTCTATATTCTTTTTTCTTAATTATAATAAAAAAAAATTCATTTTTATGCTTAACTCGAAGAAGAATTGTTACGAAAATGGCAAATCTAATCATGATTATTAGATTTGTTTTGATATCATTATATAACTTGGTACATGATATACAATGTATTTTATAATTGCATAATTCTTGAAGATACATGCATAAAAACACATATAATGAAGATCAATTACACACAATTGATTAATCGATTAAAGATTAGTTTCTTGGAAGCAAACGCGAAATTCAATGTTAACTTTATGATCTTTTGGTTTGATTTTGATTATTATATACTTTGACGTATTATAATACTAGTTCGTATTATTTCGTATAAACGAAAAATGAATTACAAATAAATAAATAAATTCAATATTTCCAATAAAAAAGTTAAGATATTTCTATAAATATATAATAAACAATAATAAATTACATAATAAATTTTACTCTCGAAGATCATATTTACTCCACTTAACTTTTCATTTATGTTAAAGCATATGTAGATTATCCATCTAAGCGTTCTTTCTATTTGTAGCATGCGGGAGTCAAAAAAAACACAATGTTCGAACTGTCTGCTACATAGTCTGTGCTACATGTCTTATTACATCTTTTAAGATTCTTCGCTTCCACATCTTCCCATATTTAATTTATAATTTCTGAATGATATAAAATGATGTAAAATCGAAATGTTTTCTCTAAATCCTTTATATCTCTATAACCACAATTGATTATTTTTTTATTTCAATCATTGAATACCCCAATAGAGGACGATATTTTTTCCTTTTCATTTAACTTTTTTTCATTTTTTTAATAGTTATCAATTTTTTTTTATAAAACAAGATAATTTTACAATACGATTTTCGTTCTTTATGATGCAACCATATAATATCGAATTACAATTAGAGTGTGAATATTTCTGATAATATATATTCTATTCTTGTGATATACATAAACAAATTGGATAGAGAAGTTATCATACACATACACGAATATACACTTGTGCTATTATTAGTTGCCATCACCAACTATTTCATATTGTGGCAGATGTTTTTTTTTTTTTTATTTAAAAAAATCTATTATCTTCTATGTTACTTTATTCCAGAGATTGCATTCCGAGTTATTACAGTATCTGAATTATTCGTTCAAAGATATAACGTACTTGTAAATTATCAATTAACGACATTAATTGACGATTAAAATTTTTAATCTTATGATATCCGGTAATCATTATTTCTTCATTTTTCGCTAGATTTTACAATGTTTATTGACGGTTTACAAACATTTTACTAACAAACTATAAAAAATTAGTTAAAAGATTTACTAATGGTTTACTAATGGTATCAGTGATCAATATCTATACATAATTATTCCATGTCCTTATTTACTCTATAAATGGGAAAAGAAGTAAAGGTTGGAATCTAGATTAAAAGCAGGGCAAATAATGCTAAAGTAATTTCAACAATTCTAGGCCAAGGTGAAAGTACATCGATCTTTAAGCGTAACATCATCGAAATGAGATACGGTATCTATTTTGCTGCTTTTTTTAGATTGCGATTATAGAGACAATTATAAAGAATATGCCAACAATTTCTTGCGTTATAATATTAAATCTTGTCTTTATTAGATAAAACAATTATTATTTTTATTTTTATAGGTAAACGATCCGGAAGCGAATAATGAAAGATATACGGCAAATGACTCTATACTTTCGTGGTAATTATCAGTTTATGCTTTTAGAAATAAATTTGCATCTTAAAATATCAATGCATTACATTAACAGGCAATACGAGACAAAGGGTAAGAAGAAATTAATTAAGAATGGAAGAAAATTGGCTATAATCATTGGTATATTAACTGTAATCGTGATTGGACTG